AATAGGACACACAAAAATGTGTTTGGGGTTTTGTTTTTATTTTTCTTTTGTCTCATTTGTGGGTGTTACTTTGAGTCTCTGTTTATGTGTGTTTCATTTGCAATACCTATAGAGGTCAAGAAATTAGTATATGGCTGTTGTGGATCTCAAGATGGAGGAGACAGACTTCTGTGACATCATGGTTTAAAGGAGTAACAGGGCCGGGCATTGGTGGTGCACGCCTTTAATCCCAGCACTCAGGAGGCAGAGGCAGAGGATCTCTTTGAATTTGAGGCCAGCCTGGTCTTCAGAGCAAGTGCCAGGATAGGCTCCAAAGCTACACAGAGAAACCCTGTCTCAAAAAACCAAAATAAATAAATAAATAAATAAATAAATAAATAAATAAATAAGGAATAATGGAACTGGGATGGTTAAAGGAGGCAAGGGATGGGATAGGAGGTTAGACCAGGAAAAAAGAAATCCAGAAAAAAAGAAGTAACAATAAAAGTTAATAAAAGGGAAGGAACTACAACTGGACTAACTCTTTATCTTCCTCACAAGTATGACCACTATTTTATTAATGTGGATGACTATTCTCTTAAAGTTGATTTTTAATGAATAAGATTAATAAAGTCCCTTAAAATGAATTATTATTTGACTTCTAAACCCCTTTCACACTTGTGAGTAGAGGAATCTAACATACTACTTGACCTGGCTCATTTTCAATACTTTTCTGAGAGATGCTAAATTAGGCAAGTACATAATATCACATTGCATTTGTTTTACACAGGGAATGAAATACAGTATCTTGATAAACATAGAATGAACAATATACAAAAGAGGAAATTACAATCGTTTAATTGAACATAACAAATCCCCAAATGAACAATTTCATTTCCAAGTGTAGTTTTGCTCCCAGAACAACCACAATAACAGAAATGTAACCATGGACACATTATAATAGAGAAAGCAAGAATAAAAGTGGATGCAGGTATGTGCTCATATGAGTTTGCCATTCTTTGAACCAATGGGCTATTGATCATTGTACAAAGAGTGTATGAAGGTGATTGAGTACAGAACTAATCACTGTGAGCAAACAAGCATCGTATGTGTTCCTTAGATGATCAGGGGGGCATTTATATTCTGACACACATAAAGCAGACTGTCAGCACACAGGAGTTACTTCTCATCAGTAAAAAGGGACTCACAGTTGGGAAACAGCCAGAGATCAAAACAGACATATTCACCAGGAACCAGGAAGGATTATAAACAAGAGCCAAACAAATTTGACAGATACAGGAGAGCAGATAAAAGCAGATAAACGTGCTCACCATTAGAAGGATGGTTTGGGTAGCTCTGGTCTCAGGTGAGGATGCAGGAGAGACCTTGCCTCTGAGTATATGTTGCATCCTCTGCTTATGCCTGTACAGGATGAGCACCATGGAGCCACTGGTCCATAACATCAGCCACATACAGATAACATCAGGGAATGAAAGGTATACAACATGCAGAACTAAATCCATTATCCCAAGATTAACAGAAGAACAGTACCCAAAGTCTTTTAGCATTGTGATATTTTCATTGCCCTGTTTTGAACTTATGTTTGTAAGAAAAACTGTATTTATAAGGAGGTTCAGAATCCAACTAAGGTTTATCCAATAAACAGCATACTTGGGAGCTTTGAATTTAAGTGCTGCCCACTTAGAGTCTTTAGGGCTGATGGTGATGGCCTGGAAGGCACTCAGGAAGCTGATACTGCTAAAGGACACATTTCTGCCCACTTTATGGAGATAGAAAAGTCCTCTGCATCCAGAATCATCGAGGAAGTCTTTCCAACCAAAACCTGCCATTGTCTGGGGCACTCCTTTACATAAGAGAGTTAAGAAATTTGCTACAATCAAATGCATCAGAACCCAGTCTGTGGACCTTAATCTGCTTTGGGTAAAGTAAAGAAACACATAGTAGTAGAGGAGACAGGAATTGCCCAAAACTCCAACCACAGTCTGTGATAAGAAGATCATTCCCATGGTCACATCACTGGCTGCCCTTCTGTCTGGGTCTGGTGTTTGAGTCTTAGGACCTTGCATGGAATATGAAGCATAGTCTCTATGTGATGTGTTCCTGAACTCCAATCTTCCCCATTGACTATGCTTATCTCCAGGGATATTTATTAAATGTTTTCCTTAGTCAAAAATCTTAAGGTTAGAAAGCTTTAGCAATGTGAAAGTCCCTACTGAGAAGGCAGCATAAAGTAACCTTCTCCACCTCTCACAGTATATGTAGAATTCTTTGCAGATATAAATTGGACTTTGAAGATGAGGGGAGCCAAGTCATGCAGTGAGTGTTTATGAGTTTAGTCTTGATTAAAGGTTAAAAATAATCCTTGAGCCTGGCTGCTTCCTAACAGACGCTATACAGTGCTTCAAGAGCCATTCCTGAAATCTATGTCAGAACTTCAGGTGAACCTGTCATATGTTTTTCTTTTCGTCCTTGTGCATCTCCTTTCTTGCATAAATGGTGGTATGCATTACATTTGCTGTAAGTGCTTTCCACATCTTTGTGAAGAGTTACTATATAGGACAAATCAGCTGTGGGTGAGTTTTGAGGTGTGTTAATGCAAGTTGATACATGGAAGGAAATGCAAGCCAGTTTTTCATGCCAAGGGCATCGATACACTAATGCCTCCACATTAGCATAGTCTGGTAATGACCCATTTGTATTTGTGTTAGGGACATGAGTCTAATAAGACCTACGACGCGCATCATTCAATAATCACATCACGCAACAATCCAGAACAATCAAATCTATCTGGAATATAAGATCAGGAAGAAATTAAACTGCTGCTGAGTTGAGATGGTCCATTCAAGTGACAAACAATATCAGAGTCAGTCCAACTATTATCAGTGAATTAACATTTATGACTGATAATCATAGGGATAAGCGTGCACATTGTCATGGCATAACATGTTGAGCTCTACATTTAAAATTCGGAGAAACAGTTTAGTCATTATATTGTACTAACTTAATAAATTTTATCATTTAGGACAATTATGTATTATTTATAAAACTGAGAAAACACAGACATTTCTCATATTCCTCTACACACCCACTGGTTTACACATATCTAATTCCCACAGAACAGGTGTGTACTTTTGAGGATTGGGAGATTGATTTAAAGTGGGTTAAAAAAAAAAAGGTCATGCTCTTTCAAGAAGTTATGGTAGGAGCTTATGGTAAGTACATCAATTTTTTTCTTTAAACCTTTGTTTCCAAAGCTTACGAGTCACCAGACCCTCTAACTGCAAATGCCCGTGTTCTCATGCTGGATTCATCTCTGTTTGTATCGACCGCATCTTGTGCCCAGTATCTGAAAGTGATTTCAGTTCATATACAGACTAGCAGACAAGGAAGCATCTTTCTAGTTCTTCCCACTGTGGAAAAAGAAAAAAGAAAAAGAAGAAGAAGCAGCAGGAGGAAATGAAAAATGCAGCCTTTGCCTAGAAGGATGAGGCTACAGGTCTTGGAATGCCGGCTGGGGATCCGACTGATTATGGAACAGTACTTATTACCTTCCTTTCAGGTTTCATTATCACTTTTGCTAATCCTCAATAATCATGATCAAGGATTCTTCTAAGTTAGGAAAATCAGGGATGGGGGAGGTTTAGGGCCCCTTTCTATGTGTCTGAACTCATTCTCCCAGTATTTCCTGTCTGCCTTTGACAGCACTCTCTTCAATCTTGATATCCAGTTCTGAGATTCTTGCTTCAGCCCTTCCACTCTGACAGTCTCCCATACCTACATACCTTTTCAATTGTTAAACTTTTCTAGCTAATTCTGCACGTGTAACACATACCAACAGCTCTAACCTCCCACAGTCAGTTCCTCACATGTAAAGTCAACATCTCTAACTCCCCAGCCCAGCCAGTACTCCCATCCCTGTCTACTGCTCCTGCTCCCCACAAGTCTGTCTGAGTAGTCAGTATTCCTTTGGTTTGTGTCCTACTGAGACCAACCTGGGGTGTCTGTGTGGCTCTGTTTGGAGCTCTCTGCTGGAGACCTGGTTGTGTCAACAGTGACTTCCTCAGACTCTTCACATGGCCTTTCCCTTATAGAATCTGCCTCTCAGGAAGGCTGCACTGGGGAGACTCTCCTCACTCTCTCTTCATTGGGATGACAATGTGAGTGCCAGGCTCCTTAAGTCCAGAAAGTGTGCTGGACTGAATCAGCTGGAGCCTGGGTTATTTGTTTGTAACTCTGTGACCTCACCTCCCTTCAGACCTCTAATTACCGTCTTGCATACGATAGCAATAGTCATGAAGGTTTGGTAGACTAGAACATTGCTGGGAACTTTTTTCCAAGGTGACAATGTTCAATAAGCAATTACAAACTCCCTGCTAGCATCCCTTTAGAGAATATGGGAGAGTTTGGAGAGGTTCGTGTAGAACATCATCCCTTGACAAAGGAAAGCCCTCAGTGGAAGTCTCTGGAAATACCTAAGTCTGCACATGAAGGACTGAGTGGGCTCTGGATGCCAGAGTGTCCCTGCTTCAAAGAACTTTGTTCACACCAGAGTGGACTTTTTCCTTAGTCACCATAACAGAGAACAAGGAATTTTAGTTATGGCAAATATACAGAAAAAGGCAGAATATCCAGCAATGTGGGTATTTTCTGAATGGTCACTGTTTTGATCAAAACAAATTTAAGGTTTTCTTTTGAATATGCGTCATTTAAATTTATTTTTAAAAATACAAAGAAGGTTTTAGTATGCACTTTTGCTTTTTATCAGTTTTATTAGTGTTTTTTTCCTTTTTATTTAAACTCTTTAATTACTACTCATATTTACATATCCATTCCCCCCATTCCCTCGCCCTCCCATCCTCCCATGTTCCTCCCCAACTCCCCCAATCCCCCCCAACTCCTCCCCAGGGAAAGTGAGGCCCTCCACCAAGGACCTTCAAAGTCTGTCATATTGTCTGTGGGAGGGTCTAGGCCCTCCTTGCTGTATCTGGGCTGCAATAGTATCCCTCCATAGGGAATAGGCTCCCAAAGTCCATTGTGCTCTAGGGTTAAAGATGGCTCCACTGTTAGAGGTCCCATAGAGTGTCTTGGCCTCATAGCTGGCACCCACATTCAGAGGGCTTGGTTTGGTCCAATGCTGTTTCCCCAGCTTTATGACTAAAGTCTCCATGCTCTCACTAGGTCAGGTCCACTGTTTCTGCAAGTCTCTCCAGCCCCATCTTGGCTCCTTTGCTCATCCCTCCTCCCTCTCTACAACTGGACTCCAGTAGAATGGTTCAGTGCTTAGCTGTGGGTGTCTGCTTTGAGAATTTCATACAATGCACTTCCGTCAAATTCATCCCACCTCCTCTCCTCCTCCCATATCCAATCCCCACGTCCTTACCTGTGAAACATCAAGCTTTCTTTCTTTTTTAGACCCATCAAATCCAATTTGTGCTGCCCAAATACTTTTTCTGCATAGTTTGTCACCGGGAGTATGGTCGGCACCTACCATGTGTCACAGTTTTAAAGTAATCTCACTCCTTTTCTTTAAGCTATCAGTTGCCAATATCTCCTCAGCTAGGGGCAGGACTTCATACCCACTGCCTGTTAGGGTTTTCACTTTCAACTGGAAACATAAAATTAATGTTACTTTTTCTCTTTTCATTGGATAACACGCCTCGCTGCACACAAACATGGGAATATATGTCACTGTAGATGTAAGTGCATTTAATGATCTCAATCTTCTACGCCTGCTTAGAAAAGCAGAAGAGGAATAGAGTACAATGTCAGTATAAGTTCTAAGGGAGAAGAGAGTATAAACTGTGGTATTGTGGGAAGAAGAGTACCAGTGACTTTTGTCAGAGAGATGCTGACAATGTCGTGTTGTGACCCTGATTCTGAACCCCCAAATCACCAAGAGACTCGTTCCAATGCAGAAGCAAAGAGTCTTTTATTGTTGAGTGAGCTAACCCCATTAACTTGGGCCCTTTGCAGTTGGCGTGAGAAGGACCCGGAGAAACCTCAAGGCAGGGAACTTATTGGGCAGTGTAAGGGGAGTGTCTAGGGGTATGCAGCAATCTCAGGATTGGTGCGCTTCCAGGCTTGGACAACCTGTCCTGTGTTGATTAATCAACTGATTGTTATGGCCCACAGGCCTTCCCAGGGCAGTTGCTATGCTCTGCACTTTACTGTTATGCTGCTTTTACCGTAAAGCACGCCCAGAACCATAAAACATATCCAGAGTCCCGCCAACTAACTTCTGATTAGTTCCTTGCCACGAGGAGGGTATATGACCTCCTAGTGACTAGGGCGGGCCCAGCAAGTTCAGACATGTGCTGAGTAAGAGTCCTACATGTCTTTTCTGCAGCCTGTCATGGCTGCTAAAGCAGGGGGCTAGGTGAGAGTCCGGTCCCTTCATTAGCTTTTATATGGGGTTCATAGACTCTTGGTGCTTTATCCTCTAAGAAGTTACCCAAATCCTCTTGAAGTGAAGAGATTTGACCCCACAAATAGACATATTATGTCACGCTATGGCATTTAATATACTAAAAAAGACTGTGAGACATAGAATGAGCAGGATCCTAGATGTGAAAGTCTTCTCAGAGACACAGTGACATTAATCTGAGTGAGTCAATGATATGTGAGATTTAAAAAAATCAATGATAAGACTTGAAATCTTTAAAAATGTATCGAAACAGAGACAGGAGAGATTGCTCAGTGGCTAAGAATATGTGATTCTCTTATAGAGATCTTGGGTTTGGTCCATAGCACCTACAACCAGTGGCTGAAAATATCCTGAACCTCTGGTTTCAGGGCATCCAATGCTCTCAACTGGTCTCCTTAGACACTGCCCATGCATAGTATACACACAGAGAAATGCATGCATGTACACACACACACACACACACACACACACACACACTCCAGAACTATAAAAGTAAACAAAATTTTAAAACATTTTAAATAATCACCATATCACATTGGTAACAAAATCACATAATAATGGTACAGACACGTACATGTAGATGAATGAAAGAAAATAGAGAGCCCAGGTGTGAAGCCACACAGTTATACTACTATGTAACAA